AGACTGGTGTTCTTTTAAGCAAGTCGTGTCTTAAGGAGAATTCAGTAGCGAGGAGATTCTTCTCTACAGAGGATTACAAAGAGATTGTGTTTAGTCATATTGCTTCTTGTTCCTACATGATGTTCTGGTTCTTGATGGGAGTTAAAATGGATATGAGTTTGATCCGAACCACGGGAAGAAAAGCCATCACCATTGGGATATGTTCTGTTTTACTCTCGACTTTGGTTTGTTCGATTATCTTTTTCGCTAACCTAAGGGACGTAGGAACGAAAAAATCAAACAATACCATGGGTTTTTGGGAAATTGTCTCGATTTACTCGATCCAATGCCTTTCGTCTTTCCCTGTTGTTGGGAACCTTCTGTTTGAGCTTAGGCTACAGAACTCAGAGCTTGGTCGTCTTGCAATATCTTCTGCTGTGTTCAGTGATTTCAGCAGCTCGGTTATTTCTTCTGCTCTTATCTTTATGAAGGAACTTAGAGACGAGCAAACACGGCTCGGGAGTGTGTTTATCGGAGATGTTATTGCAGGGGATCGTCCTTTGAAGCGAGCAGGCGTAGTGGTTCTCTTTGTTTGTCTAGTCATTTATGTTTTTAGGCCATTGATGTTCTACATTATTAAAAGAACGCCTTCTGGTCGACCCGTGAAGACAATCTACTTAACTACAGTCGTCGTTATGGTCTCTGGTTCAGCCGTTCTTTCGAATTGGTGTAAGCAATCTATTTTCATGGGACCTTTCATATTAGGTCTTGCTGTTCCTCATGGACCGCCTTTAGGTTCTGCAATCATTGAGAAGTTCGAGTCAGCTATATTCGGCACTTTTCTTCCATTCTTCGTTGCTTCGTGTACCACGGAGATCGACATTTCGGCTTTAGTTGGTTGGGAAGATCTCAATGCCGTTATACTCATCATGGTAACATCTTTTGTTGTCAAATTCATCTTGACTACTATTCCTGCTTTGTGCTACCATATGCCAATGGCAGATTGCTTCGCTCTCTCTCTTATCATGTCCTCTAGAGGCATCTTCGAGCTCGGTGCATATGCCTTGGCCTTCCAAAGAGGGGTATGTATACACACATTATGCCTCCATAATCATAATCATTCAATACAAATCTATATCTTATGGCTATGCTTTGAACTTTTGCAGACTATCCGTCCTCAGACTTTCACTGTCGTGTGTCTTTACATAATGGTGAACTCCGCAATCATACCTCCGATCTTGAAGTACTTATACGATCCTTCGAGGATGTACGCAGGGTACGAGAAGCGGAATATGCAGCATTTGAAACCAAACTCTGAGTTAAGGATTCTGTCTTGCATTTACAAAACCGATGATATAAATCCGATGATCAATCTTCTCCAAGCTACTTGCCCGTCCCGGGAATCCCCTGTAGCCGCCTATGTTCTCCACTTGATGGAGCTCGTAGGGCAAGCACATCCGATCTTCATTTCCCACAAATTGCAAACTCGCAAAACAGAGGATATGCCTTATTCAAAAAATGTAGTACTCTCCTTTGAAAAATTCCACAAAGAATACTATGGATCTGTCTTCGTAAGCACATACACGGCCTTTTCTATGCCCGATACGATGCATGGAGACATATGTATGCTTGCACTCAACAACACTACGTCTCTCATACTCCTTCCCTTTCACCAGACTTGGTCCGCAGAAGGTGCTATCATTTCAGACAGCAACATGATCAAGAACCTCAACAAAAGCGTTCTCGAAGTGGCGCCGTGTTCTGTCGGAATCTTTGTCTACAGAAATAGCCACGGAAGGAGAAATATCAATGAAACGGTAATAAGCTTGTCCTCTTATCAAGTTTGTATGATCTTCCTAGGCGGTAAAGACGATAGGGAAGCTGTGACACTCGCGACGCGAATGGGCCGTGACCCTCGAATAAGCGTTACCGTTGTCCGAATGATCAGTGCGGATGAGAAATCAAAAGAAAAATCGGAGTGGGATAAAATGCTTGACGATGAAATGCTTAGAGATGTGAAGAGCAATGCATTAGCAGATGTTCTCTACACCGAAAAAGTGGTCGAAGACGCTTTTGAGACATCCGGTTTGTTGATATCGATGGCGAATGATTTCGATATGTTCATAGTGGGAAGAGGGAAAGGAAGAACGAGTGTGGTCACGGTAGGGCTTGAGGAATGGAGTGAGTCTAAGGAGCTTGGTGTTATAGGAGATTTATTGACTTCTCAAGATATTAATTCTCAAGCTTCTGTTTTGGTTATACAACAACAACAACTTATGATTTAATTAGGTCAAATTGCTTCCCTACCACACCATTCATTTGTAATTTTACCATTCTTTTATTCATTCTAGTCTTAGAAATTCAATTGTAAGAATATTCTTTGTAAATTCCATTTAGTCCATTCGAATTTAACTTTTTGGTAACCCAGTTTCTCGATAAGATACATATTATTGGGTCATCGCAAGAGCAATAATTCTTGGATTATTTTGTATAATAACCAAAAAAAAAAATTAGTAATTAAGCAAGTAACTAAAACTGCCTAATAATAACCATTAGATTTAGGGTATTTTATTAGGTTTTTAGATATAGTTTTTTTTTTTTTTTNAGAAATTTCAAAAAATACCACTTTTCAAGTGCCACTTTACAAAAATGCCACACTTTTGAAATCTTTGCAAAAATGCCACTTTTTCAAA